CTCCGGAATAGTTCGAGTAGCATGATGTTGTGGCTATGAGCTTTGCGCAAGTCATTCTGCGGAGTAATGAGGATGGGACGCTGATATATTCTGTGGGTGACAGTGAATAGACTCATACAATACTATGCTGTAGGCATATGAACAGAAAGTGTAAGATTAAACCTTTGTCCTTTTCCTGTGGATGCCTCTTTGAAACTATATACATGATCGCCTAGCTAATACACTAGTGTTGTAAACTATCGCTTTGAGCCCTATGCGATGCCCTGGCCTCGACTACCTCGTTTTCTCATAGCATAACACCTGGACACCCACAGTACTTGGGAAGGAGATGCCTCAGATTATATTTGGTGCAGAGACTGGCGATGGATGATGGGGACATGCCTGAATAACACTGTATTTTTGAGTCGTTCCCCTGAGTGGACGATCTTGGATGAGGGCAGACTTTGGGTGAAGAAGAAGCCGTCATAACTTCGTTATAGTACTTGCAAATTAATTCCGGAGCATGAGTCCTCTAATTGTAAACCGAGTACCATATTCTGTACTTTATCTCTGATATTTTATCGTGGCTGAATGTCTACCCACGCTATTGAAATCTAAAAAAATAGCCGTTGCTCGCCGTCACGGACGACTCTCGTTTGGTCAAGGGAGTCAAATGCTGTTTTGAGTATCTCTCGATCTACGCCGTTACCTGCGGCGGAATATAAAATTGACCTAGGCCACCACAAGTTTAGGCAAATTGTCTAGATCTCTCACGTCTCGCTGTCAAGGTTAGAGCTTACGAGATTATTATATGTAGAAGGGCTAGGGATGATTATCGATGAATTGATGTGAACTGCTGATAATTTGATATTAAGAACTATGAGGATTTGGAAGGTAGAAAGTGATACTTGTATACACATCTGAGTTAGCTAGACTCTCGCCTTATTTTCCCAAAACAGTATCACGGGATATCCTAGTATCGTCCATCTAGTAGTATAATCAGGAAACACCTTCCGTACAGAGCTCCATTATTCCTCCACTTATCATGGAATCACCTGGAGAGCCCTTCCTTCACTCTCGGCCATCACTAGCACGATATAGCTGCGCGGGACATTTCCCTTTCATGTATGCAGGGCCGAGCCGTGATTTCAATTATCAAATTATGCTTTGAATCTCATTGATACTCAGTATGTCAAGGTTTCAGTACAGAATACATGGTCAATCTTGTAGGCTCGGCATATTAATTGTAATTCTCTGAAGTATTAAGGAAATAATGAACCCTCAGTCATTGAGCTTGTATAGTGCATTGATTCACGTAACTACCGAAGTGAAACTAAGTACAGAATTTGCAGTCACGTGTATATCAACAACGTGGCCCACTTGATAGCCCTAATTATTCTAAATTCTAACATGGAGAGAGAATTCCTACAGCTAGACTACAAGCAGACACAATCAAAGTTAATCCCTTTCTATAAGATTCCCTCTGTGACCAGGATTGTTAGGACACTTCGACAACTCTCTAGACGGTTCTCAACATACCTGTCATCCTCAAGAACCTTCATTATCCTTCTTCAAGGTTCCCTTTGTGTCATTGCCTGCGCTTTCCAGCGTTGGCTACACGAATCCTTAGACTTAACAGTCGTTACACATTATCATGGTAGAACAAACGGTCATTAGTGACGAGCCGAACTGCAATCTGTAACAAGTGCTCTACATATCAAGTGATCAATCATGAAATGAACTGGAATTGTAATTAGTTAACATATGATGCATTAATTATGCTCTGTGCACATCACAATCCTTTATAATTGGGAAATCAGGGATCAATTTCATAGCAAAAGAAGATGGGAGGACTGTGCAAGGTGTGGCCTAGATCAGAGAAGATCCCATTGTGATGGATATTCCCAGACTCAAGTAGCGTGATAGATCCCTAGCCAAAAATGGTCTTGAGTTCACGTTGCCGAAATATTCCCAAAGGGGGGATACCCTAATGCGGTTAGTCTCGGTTACCGCATCGACAAGGACACACATTAACCTACTCGAGCTTGCTGTAAGTCCTAAGCGAAAACGTTAGGCCAGCAACACTGGTCCTTCCTCCTCGCCCAGCGAACCCAGTCCCGAGGGCTCCCGACGCCAGGAGCCCAATCATACCCGCCGTCCCAGTGCTGCCTGTCAAAAGCACCTGGGCAACGGTAGCTAATAACGGACTGCCACAAAAACAGCCCCTTCAGCAAAGGCTGTGCCCCAGCCTGCAGCCAAAGCCCCAAAGAAAGACGCCCCAAAGGCGAAAGTCGATAGACAACTTTTCATCCGCCTTGGTAGCGATCACCCCTGGAGGAAATTGTCTCTCCAGGCTGTACGAACTGTAATCTAGGTGCATACCGATTGCAGTCTATAAATGGCTGACTCTATACACCGAGTGATGACCGGTTTCGCAATGGCGACAACCGATGAAGAATTGAGACAGATGATCCTGGATGTCTCTCCGACCATGGAGAGTATAAACGTCAAAGTTGAAGAGGCTCCGGATCTAGTCTTCTTACGGATACCAAATGTGCCGGTGAATATCATACTAAAACGCGGTCCGGTAAAGGTCACAGACTCGGAGGTCATAGGCGAGATCTTCCGATAAACTGGGCTTCTGCCAACCGATCTGTGACCACATGGAACTTACCGTCCTGGTGCACCATACCGCAACTGGCTTGCTCTTTTCCCTCGGGACTCCACTCCTCGTACGAGCTTCCGCCTCTTTGAAGAGTGTGGTTTGGCTACCAAGCTACAGCCTCGACAAAGAATCAAACAGTGCTACCGCTGCCTCGGCTTCCACGCCACTTGTGGTTGCTCTCGCGCTCCGGCCTGTCCGAATTGCGGTTCAAAAATTTACTCTGAAGAAGAGTGCAAGGCCTCCACCAGATGTCGAAATTGTGGAGGACCTCACCGATCGGACTCACGGGACTGCCAAGCCAGACCTAACAATTTCTGCTCGGTGAAGAAAGAGCAGCTTGCGATAATTCGACAGGTCGAGCAAAGGAGGTTTACTGAAGTAGCCCGAGTAAGAGCGGCAGCCAAAAGGGTAAAGGAGGCGATAATCGCCTCAAACAAGGACGTCTCTATGGCGGAGGTATCAGGCTTCGGAGTTCTGGAGTCCGAAGAAGTCTGAGACGGCGACCTCTATATCGCCCTATAGGCGATTATTAATCAATAGCAGAATACCAGCTGTATCAATGGTACCTGCTAACCCATCTGTTTCTCTCGGCAGAGATCGGAAAAATTCTCATCTGGAAGGTGTGACGAGTGAAGGAATATGTGAAGATCGCATTGTTTGGGCTCAATGTGGAGAAATCTTCTAGCTTTAGGCCTGTTTTATGCTGTTTTTATTTATTTTATATTCTTGCTTTCGGTTGTCATAATCTGCTGCAATTTTGGAAGCGATTCACGCGGTTGGAATGAGTGGGCTGTGGACAAGAATACAGGTATCCCTGCCGGATCCACTGGTCCTGTATCTCATAGATGGACGTAGAGCTTTAGCTTAGGATCTTCATAAATGAACAACACAACTGATGAGGTGGGGAGAGGGCTGATGTTATTATTGACACTAGCTTCGAGCTAGTCCGAGGAAACCTTAAAGGTAGTCCCCGCTCACCTCTTGGGAAGGCGAGCGATGTTGGTAAAATTTCGGTATGTTGGTCACATGCGATCTTGCCTATCTTGTTCATATCTTGTCCCATGATCTCTATCTTATATAATCTTTCCCCCCGCGACATCACGGATGCTACACCCAGCGGCGGCTAAGGCTGCAGAGGTTTTGATTTATTGCTAGCGCTTGTGTGCAGTCAAGGCGCCGGGTCCACCTACCAGAGGCTCGTAGTCTAATGTGGAGAATTCGGCAGGCGAGCAATAATGAAGAGCAGCCTTCAGCAGTGCACCTTGCCCATAAAACCTAATTCATGAGCAGACGATTTGTGCCGCAGCTTCTGACAGCCAGGAGAGACTCGCGCAATATGTAGGAAAAGGGTTCGACCTTATGAGCTGGGATCTCTGCACCGACCTGACTCTTGATGGCACTTCTGGCACTAATAATCTACCCAAGCATGCTGTCGCGAAAGTCTCTCATAACGACGTCAGTTATTTCACAATTAAAGCGCGGTTACCATGGGCATTCGCTCCCGGAAGATAGGCTCTATCGCAACGAGATGAATAAAAGGTGGTCATGTGAACGAGTCAACATTTACGAAGTGGGAATTAGATGGAGGAGCTACTCAGAGAATTCAAAGGCAGTTGGTAAATGTTAGCTTTCAATAGACGTCAACATCTGTGATAGAGCTAATCTATGCTGGGTTGGTTGATACCTGTGTACAATGGAATGTAATTTGACTGACAAAGAAGGCCTATATGGTACGGAGTCAGTTTGGGCAAGATTAAGTATTCAATCCTGATTTCTTTCCGTTTTATTGGGAAGATAACCTAGTGACATCTAATACTCATGTTCGGTGGTATTACATAGCTAAAACAGTGTAGTTCACTTCTCAATTTCTGCACTTATCTTCTAAAACTAACTATACTGTTTGGGCCACACCTATGAGGCTCGAGTTTCGAATATTGTCACAGACATTCAGGGCCCAGGATAGGAACTTGGACCTAGGTTCATGATAGAAAAGCTTCTTGTAAGATGGAATAGCAGTACTAGAATAAATTATGTTAGACATGGCGATAGATCAATTTGTTGAGCTGGTTATTTTCATGGTCGTTAGCAGTAAGTATAATGATTATGATACTTCGCCTGTGCATGGGTCTTTAATGAAAATATATCACGCTATTCTCATTTTCAGTTTGGAGACGAGACAATTCTTTAATGATCGAATTCAAAAGATTTTATTGGTTAAAAATACTAGGCCAGCAACTTAACATAACTGTGCTGAGTTTTCTAAAGAAATGACCCTAACTCCTGCACATTATCCTACATTGCCTTAAGTTTGGAAGATGTTATATGAAATTTCTGCGCCTTAGATTGTTAGCACAAATCATTGGAATACCCAATATTCAGCTGCATATTGAACCTCAAAATTTTCGGGTTTGCCATCGCAGGTTTTGCTGGGATTTCCGCCGGCCGTGTGTAGACGATAAATCTCGACTTTGGCACCGGTGCCGATGTCTGTACCAATAGCTCTGAGCCAAGGAACGGCTCCGTCTCCTACATTATTTTTACCGACCTGGGATCCAGGTGGGGCAGGTGAAGCCTTATCAAGGACAACTTGGAAATGGCCAAGCTTGTTGCTGGCGGCGTTAGAAAAGTCGAAATCAGCAGTCTTGCGGGCGGAAAAGAAATGTTGAGCCGCAACAGCGGGTCGTGTGCCATCCAGAAATTGTGCACTGTCAGTTGAGCCGTCGAAGTCCAAGGCTGAGCGCGCAAATCCGGCGAACTGTTGAGGAGATTTGGAAGCAGTGCAGCTAGTGTCGAAGAGCGTGGCCTTTGCACCTAGGGCGATGGGCTCGGTCTTGCCATTTTCATTTGTACAGCTATAGTTTTGCGTACCACGACCCACCGTAATGATGCGGAGCTTTAGACCGTTGCTTGGAGGTGGCAAAACTTTTGCCGCTGTAGGGGAGATGTTAGTTATAATGACTTTACTTGGACTCTACTTACCATCAGAGGGAAGATTCATTGAATCCACGCTGCAAGATCCCGTATCCTTGGATTTCTGATCCTTGGATTTATTGTCCTTGGATTTCTTGTCATCATCATCATCATCATCATCACTGAGTGCTTCGACCTCTGAATCGAGTGCGTTATCAACAGCGGCAACTTGGCTATCAACTATAGGAGCTGAAGCTTCAAACGCAGGAGCTGCAGCTACATCCACTGGAGCCGCTGCTGCATCCACAGGAGCTGAAGCTTCAATCGCAGGAGCTGCTGCTACATCCACAGGAGCCGCAGGTTCAAGGACAGGTGCCTCGGTTCCAGCTGTCACATCAGCCTGGTCTTGCCGCGGTTCTATATCCGCTTCGGTGGGGATAGCTGAGCTTTTTAGACTAAGTGTAGTGGCGATAAATATAATGCCGAGACATATCCTGAAAAGAATGTTGGCCCGAAACATTGTCTTTAATGAACCCCTATCAGCGAAATGAGAAATTGAAGATTCTTGGTTCACGGGCTAATAGCTGGAGGGGAGGGAGAGGCGGACGAACAGGTATCTAACCTTGACGTCAAGAGGCGGATAAGATTAAATGGTCGTCTGCGAGCTTGAGATTTGCGTGTGAGCGTATGTACGAGTGTACAATATGTGATGGCATCGATCTAGGAACAACAGCAGACACCTCCATTTAAGATACCTCCATGTAGGATAGGCGTAGACCATGGCACAGGATTCAGTGGCGCTGTAGTAGACATTCGGCGTGGTACAATAATCATGAATGAGTCGTAGCTTGGTGAGGTTTTTCGATTGTTTAGACTGAGAGATTCAGGATCAAAGGGTTGAAACACGGCAGCTGTATCACTCCACGCTGCCAAGAAGATGGGCCCAATTGTTTGAACAGATTGTGCGGGTTCGGAGGCATTAGCACAGCGGCAGCTGGCATCAAGACTCTCTCGGCGCGTATTAAGCGCCCCATATCCCGGACCATTGCAGCGAGGGTACTCATCAAGCCTTACAGAAAGGGGTATTTCGCGCCAGTTAATCACCGCATAGTGAGCTTGGGAATGGCGCATTCAACTTCGATTAATCTACTTGTCCTAGGAGCTCTCCGCTAGTATCCAGGTTCTGACTTTGTACTTTTAGATGATAGCCGAAGCACAACCGGGAGTCCCCAACTTGGATGCACGAAGGCCTTTTCAGACAAAATGTTAAAATGCATCGTCCTGTCGCTTCATAGGAATTTCTCCTCAGCCTCATCAATGTCTCTGGCTACTGTCTCGTTTCATGCCAATCGCCCATGTGTTTATCTGGCTCTGCATATACTCTGCCCCTCTTCCGCCACGTGTGATTGGATATGTTTAGGAAATGTCTTCGAAATTTCCCTCTCCGGACCCAGATGCCGCAATCTCCCGGCCATCACCTGAAGAGATATCTTTATTAGCTCCTTCTTACCTGCCAGACCGAGTCGCATTCCTCTGAATATGATGATGACACCTTACTTAGTACTGGCATGAGTAGCCCTCGGCGCTAGCTTTGCTAGTGTGCTGCCACATATTCATCTACAGAAGATTTATGGTGTGACTTTATAAGGTATCACCATTTGTAGATGAACCAGTTATTGCATTAGCATTATCAACCAGCCAGCTGGCCCTTTTTGATAACCATTCGACGTGTATGCAGCCATTTTGCCATGACACATGACGATTGTTTTGTGAACATGTTAGGTGATTCATCGACTTCAGACATTCTTATATTTGATTTCGTTCGCCAATACTTCCATGAGGTATTTTCGTTGACACTGATCAGTCGATCCAGCTCTGTGAGTACCCACCAAAGAAAAGTTTCAGGAACTTTGATAATTTAATCTTTCACTTTTCATACAGATAAAGCTGGACCACGAGAAATGTGTTGGAGGTTTGCCGAATCTGAACCAGCCATCTCCTGTCTCAAGTTGAACGAACGTCCGATCTATCCAGACCTTACTCGAGAGACCAGCCCAAATCACATACAATTGTGCAATTTAACTAGCTTATCTCTGGAGTGTCACCTGCACATCTTTACGCTGAGTCATGGAGCGCAAGGTGTTTTTGAGATGGAAACCACGACACTATAATAAAATTTCCACCGCCTCTATTACAGCATCTATACTCAAAGTCAGGGTCGGAGGGTGCAGTGGTACACAATTCGCGCCGTTCTCCCAAGTAGATACTTAGTAGCTTGAACACCTACCCCATTTGAGACAGGAAATAACTGGTTCGAATCCAGTAAGATACACACACCACACTCTCTCGCGGTGATTTTATACCTGTGGGATGATGAAAGCACACTCGAATAGCCACAGGTTTTCACGCTTTTCCCTGTGGTGGGTATGCACGAAAGAGGTTCTACGCCATAATAATTAACCTCGAGTGGTATCTGCAAATGAAACCTGAGTATGAGTGTTCTAGACGTCAAATTGAGTCATCCTACTTAAATTACATATTTTCCCATAAAACACGCATGGGCCTCAAGGCGACAAATCAGGATAACTGAATAATTTATTTATTTGTACTCAAAATCGCTTACCAATAAATTCTAACGTGTTTCACGATAATTTCAAGTATCAGCTTCGTCATGTTCGTTTCATACTGCGCGTATTTAGATGCCGACAATGGAGCTGACAAGGAATGCCCTCATTGAAAAGAGGACTTGCTCGATAGTACTCATCAATTAAATATTTACTTAGAGGGACAGAGACTCAACACCTTCCAACCGTCCCCCACACAAACCTCCAGCTTGAACTGTAGGATCGGTAGAGTCGAATACTATTCAAGTTTAAATACGGTATTCTCCACTAAGCAAGATGCCATGGAGTGTGGGCTATACTTTACAGCGTACACTCTTGGTCAATACTTTGCCAACCTTTGACCACCATCTCGCTCTTATGTGCGAGTGCAGGCAGAACTGGGAAAGTTTTCCGAAAGCAGCAGCTTCGACGAGATCCCCGACAGCCATACAATCTCAAAAGGACTTCGTTTCGTTGCTTGAAGCGGAGCGATAACGGAGGCGAAAAGCCCCTCGTAGTGTATGAGCGAAGGAAGACTTGTGAGGGGTAGTATTGTTGGAAGGGGTCTACGAAGGAGATGTTTAAGAAGAAATTGCATCTGATGCATGGGAATGCTTGGACTGTAGGCAGCGCGGAGCTGCATGTTCTCTACAGTCTTAGACTTAGAAAAGACAATACAATAAAACTTTCAGTCCACAAGATCATGTCGAAACGCCTCGACGTTTTAAGTAGTGACAAGTCCACCAGCTCACAGACACTAAACAGAGCCCCTCTATAGCCCTAGTACCGCTCTACGCTGGAAAATGTGAACCACCGTCTAATCTCTGTCGCACTCGCTGCGCAGCGTATTCATGGCCGGACCATACCAACAGTGATCCACCGCGAAGTGACAATGTTCAGTTCAAGCCGTTGTTCGGCGAGGGGGGGGGGCAGCTCCTGGCGGCTTTTTGCGTCTCCAAAGTGGCGACTGGTGGTAGGTTTCTCATTTAGTTTTCAACGATAAAAATCATCTATTCACATTAGAGCCACAGCATTCCTAGCTCGATGTTCTACCCAAGTAAATTAAAATGCGAGGATCTGCTCAATACGGATAGGAGATCCCTCGATAGAGATGAATTGAATTCAGGTCCCTGCTGGGTCTATGACTTTTTTATAAATCATGTTGAATTTTGGTTTTATTTAACCCGGTCGGGCACCCTATAGGTCCATGAGGGTGACTGTCTTCGTTATTTACAAAGGAGGAACCCAATTTGGTGAAGCCCCCTGATGCTGCCTGTTTCATTGCTACATCTTGTCAAGTTTAGCTTCAGGAAGTGTAGTATACACTATTTAGCCGGTATGGATTCCATCCTCTTCCCTTCTAGATCGATTTCTTTTACCCGACACTGCTGTCTCGACTTCCCCTGCAAATCGAAACTGCTTTATCCATCCTTTGCTTTGTATCCACTGTATAATTCTAGCCACATTGTGACAGAAACCGAGTTGGTGATGAATAAATCGATTTATTAAACTATATGGGGAGAAAAGAGAACTCTAGCTACGACTAACAGGTATTTATAAGAATTGGTCCCCTCCGTCAATCTCCGGATTGATGACTTATCCTTAGGCACAATACTTGCTACCCAGCAACGCATTTCCAGGTGTTACTTACTAGTAGTAACGCTTCGACCTCCTGAACAGTAGTGCCGTCTTGTTTAGCTTCGTCTATCCCTCCCCATGCAGCTTTGTCGTAAATATTCTCAACAATATGCTTAGCTGTTCACCTAAGCTCAAACAACGGTCAAACCGTAACATATATCTTCTGGACTATTAATCATTTCTTCAGCTGACCTATCTTTAGCTTGTCAGAGAAAGTTGCATCTTCCACCTGCCCACTATGGACACGCCAACACCATATGCTTGACTCTTTGTGACGGATATCCACATTGACAGCTTGGCTTTTATACTCTGGCTACTTTTCTCCTGCACAGATGAGAGTTGAGCCCGATATGTTCACTTCTTAGCTGAATGGCGACACTGATTCGGGTCCTGGTTAAATTACGGTTGTTAGAAGTCAGAATATTTATTAATGTTAGAATTTAGAATAATTGGGGCTATCAAGTAGGCAACGTTTTGATACACACGTGACTACAAAACTTACGCTTAGTTTTACTTCGGTAGTTACTTGAGTCGATGCGCTCTGCTACCTCAATGGCCGAAGAGTCATTATCTCCTTAGTAACGGTGGATATTTGAGGGTGTATCTTTGAAGTTTAATTTTGTATCGTCTGTTTGTTGATCAGTATATACTTTTGCCGCTTTACAATGTTCTGGAACGGCTGATGCTGGTCGGCCAGGGTGCTGATTCCTGTTCTGACTTGTCCATGAATCCTTCCAACCCTGAAAGGCCGTTTTATTTCCAGCTTCCTTCTGCCTCCCCTGGTCCTTCCGCAAATTCTTATCCATTTGTCGATATCTTTACTCCCATTCTAGGCATGCAGAGTTTCTCTCCCGTTTTCGGACAGCTTTATCCTCTTGCATGTCGATCGTATTGTCAACAGAGCAGAAATTTTAGCAGCTAGCCCGGCGTGTTGGACCCTTTCTAAATCATGTTATATTTTGCAATCTAGCCATGAAAATGAGAGCCTATAACTTTCAGGAACTGTCTAGGCTATCTTACAAGCTTTAAAATTGATATTAATATCTAAATTCAATCTGTTCAATCTGTTCTGAGAGAAACTGAGGCTCATGCCCATAGGAGCTCCCTCTAAATGTCATTTCTAGATTCTGACTAAATAAACATGCAGCTACGCGCTGTATACGGGCCCAGCCTTTTGCGCAAAGTAAAACTCTAGTTGAGTGCTTGTGTAAGGTGATAATCAGAGCACAATCTCAGAGAAAAATATGGAATATGCCATGGCATTGCTTGCGTCTAGTAACCATATCTTACATCCTTTTCCAAAAGGCACATGTGGATCTGGTACGACTATAGGCAAGAAATGAATTTCAGATCGAAGAAATATACTATCTAGACCGAGACCCATATTGAGGATACTGCGTGAAGAAGACAATCCAAATTAACCTATCCTTCACTTTGTACGTATCCATAGTTCAGTGTTACATCACCCTTTCCCATTCAGACCTGGAAGGATTGTGTGTAAGAGGCAGAACTAGTTGTGTACTATAAATAGTATGCGCCAGGAATAGATTTTGCTAATAATAACCCATGTGCCTATCGGTGTGGATCGCTGGACAAATACTGGACCCTGTCCGTCGCGTCTCCTACATACCAGGGTGTGAACAATTCTCCCAGAGCCAAGATTGGTCTACTCTAGCAATACCTGATTCACTGGCCAACGAGGCAACGATTCAAGACTCTACACTAAATAAATGTGTCACACCCAATAAGTTTGATTCTCACCCAAGTTATCTCAAGTCTCCAAGTACGACCTATCAAACTCTCACTCCAATGACTACATCACTCTTCAACAGATTTCACTAGTCTCTGAACACTCGCCCACAAAATTACGAATGTGCGTAGGAGGAAAAGAATTGTGGCGCATAAATCCGGATGGTAGATATGCGGGACGGACGTGAGAGAGATCTATATAGTTATAAATGATGATATTAAGTATAGATGCTGTAACAGTTTGATCGTTGTTTGAGCACATAAGGATACCTAAACCTTTATTGAGAAGATTTGCGATAGGACCGAACGGAGGGGGATAGACAGAGATGGGCGAAACGGTACTACTGGCTTCTATGTCGAAGCAACATCACTGTGCGGTGACGCCTGATTATATTTGGTCTGAGCCATGACTACAGTTTCGGTCAATTGTTACTGGAAAAAAAGCTGTGAAGAAGTTATAGGAGATGGGCTACTACCAGAGGTATAGATACTCTCGGTCTGCAAGCAGAAAGGACACTGATCCCTTTGTAACTTCATATACTCAATAGATCGACAAACATACATATCCATCCATCAAAAAGCTGCGTGCACTGTGGTGAAGATGTTCTGAATTTGGACTAGGTATCTTATGTGTCAACTAGGGTAGACGTCCAGACTTTCCAAACACCACTTTGGAGACTTGCCTTTAATTTGTGCCTCTGCAACATTTGATTGCGGCAGTGTATTTAATGTTACTTGTACCCGACGAAAAAATTGCGTCGCGCTCAGGGCTCCTTAGCATTGAAAATTAATCCCCATTTTCTATCCATCCTAAAGCCAGTGTCTTGCATCTATCCAGATTTCTTAATTATACTCGGCAAATTTTAGATCATCGGGTTCGCGCGGCATGACTTAGTTGCTGAGAGTTTTGATAACGTCACAGGCGTGCACTTGAAGGCTATCCAAGGCCAGAGACTAAGTCGACGAAGAGTTCGATGAGTGGTAATAGTTTGCACTGATAATTCTGATGAGGCTTTGGCTAGAATCAGGCCCTATTGATGGCGAGAATTTGAAATGGTTGGAAGCCCTGAATTATTGCCTCATAGGCCGACGTCTCTTATGTTACAAACTTTGGAGAATAGTTGACTCTCAAGTCCATAGGAGGAACCATCAAGATATGGTTAGTATCCATTCTCTTCACTTGTAGCGGCGCCGCTGCCTCGTTTTTATCGGTCATGTCCGTATTTACTCGTCTGCAATCCTTGTTCTTCACTCTGAAGAATGCAACCTTTACTTTTTTTTCTTGGTGGCGAAGATTTTTTCCTCTTGAGTTAATTTAACATCTCAAATGATCTTCAAGCGTCCGAGGCTAAGAGGAACATTTATTAAGACGAGAATCAAACTTCAAAAATTAATCCATGAGTAAATTCTTGTTCAACCGGTAGAATACATCAAGCGCCCGACTCATCGAATAATGTACGTAGATTACAAGAGTTTCTCAGATTTACTCATGTGTTGGATCACGACGCGCATGATAGTCTCCGGAGCTTGCAATAAATCTGGGTAAGTGCAAATTCAGATTGGGCTACAGCCAACATACTTCGTACTCTTGCACAATTTTACTTTTGCCTCGTCTAGTCTTGCCGTCTAAGCCAGACTTTAAAATCTCGCTTCTAATATAAATTTCAATTATGGCTGCCTTTCTGGGTAGCGATGAGGAAAATAGAAATCAACCAGCTGATTTATTACCATTTACTTATTAAGAATTTTCTTAGTATTTTAATGTACATAAAATGGTGGAATAAGGAGATGTCTGGGTTGAAAGGGAATAATTGTACATGGTGTCATAGCTAGTGAGGCTGCATACACTCAGTGAATGAAAAAAAGCCAGCACTTTTCTTCTCTTGTGTTAGCACATCCATAACTCTTCGAAAAACTTATTTAAGTTAGACACTTGATGAGGGACAACCCTCTCGTCTTGCTCTATTGCTGCCATACCTTTCAGCTTGTTGACCGTATATTGCACTATAAACTCATGATCGAACTACCGAGGCCCTAGTTACCTTACTGCGAGACGTCCATTTTTTATAATTAACTTTTCATGGCCGGTCAAGTATAGATCCCATAGGCCAAGTTACGGGTGAATCTAAGGCAGGTACAGCTAGCATATATTAATAGTACACTAAATTTCATAATGGTTAGATATCATTTTCTGACGTTGAGCATGACTTTTTTTTTATTGCTTTTGAGCATGCCAATAGGTGGCGACTTGTTTTCTACGGGGGTCACAAACTGTCCTACATCAAACAAACTCGCAGATGGGTAATAATGCGAGCTAAATGAAGATTGTATTAAATCTCGAAAATCATCAAATTCGTCTTAGTCGCCCTCTAAAGTAGTGTCAAAGTTTATTGGGTTGTAAACCGATTAATCTAGCATGGGCCGGATTTCTGACGAAAGGTATGGCCGATACAAATCCCTGTAAATGCCTCCCAGGCGAGGACTTCATTTATAACCTTTTCATAGAACCATAAGGCGATCTACGATCATATCGTTAACCTTGGATTACGCATACTATATTACTGAAAATCACTTAGTCGTCTATCAACGATTATGAACGATGGTAGCCGATCACATTGTTTTATAGGCTGCTTCACACTACTCAATTAGGTTCGACTTTCCTAAAGCTAGGGTATTACCTTGAAAAAGAAGCGACATTAGTTTTACGATACAGCAAAGTAAAACATTTCAACTTGGATTCCATTCCTACAGACAGTATTTTTCAGTTAGGACGTGTCTTAGTCGAGGCAAAAAAATCTTTTTATTTAGTCGTGAATTTCACCATGTAGAATGGCTGACAAGCAGGCGACAATATATGTCATCGATGTTGGCTTAACAACAGGTGAATTCCACGGTGGAAGGAATGAAAGCAATCTCGAATATGGGCTCCGATATTTTTGGACAAAAATTGCGGAGAATATGGCAACAAACAGAATAACCTTGAATGTTGGGGTTGTAGCATTTCGAACTGATGAGACAAAAAATTCCATGTATCCCCAAGATGGATATCACAATATTTCAGTTCTTAAATCCCTCGGAAAGGTAGAAATGCCACATCTCCAATTTTTAAGGGCAAAGCTTGTTACAAACGATACTATTGAAGGTGATGCTATCTCTGCTGTTGTCATTGCTATGTCAGAAATAATCAACTTCACTAAGCTCAAAAATGGAAACCCTGGGAAGTTTATCCGAAAGATAATTCTCCTAACAGATGGACAAAGTACGTTAGATTCGGATGATATCGAAAACATCACTGCGAAGGTCAATGAGAGCGGGATTGAACTTATCATAATGTTAGCTATCAAAAATTTAGTGTAATTTACTATGCTTGCTGACTACAGGTTAGAGGCGTTGACTTTGACGACTCTGTCTTTGGATTTAAAGAAGAAAATAAATCTCTATTCAAGGTAAAAAATATTGTCAGAAATTATTTCCTTGACCTCTAATCCTTCAACAGCAACAAAATGAACGAATACTCAAGAGTTTTGTTGAAGGCTGTGACCGCGGAAAATTTTGTACGACAGCAGCAGCTTTGCAGGAAATATCGCAACCCACTGTAAAAGAGGTAAAGCCCTATGTGACGTATGAGGGACAATTAACTCTTGGTGACGTTAAAATGTATCCAGAATCAGCGATATGCATTGATGTAAAACGATACTTCAGAACTAAGAAGGCTAAAGTACCAACAGCTAGTAGGTACTTTATTCACACTCCTGACTCAAAAGTTGCAACAGACGATGAACAATCCAATGAAATAGATCTCGTTAATGGTGTGAGAGAATCTGTTGAAAGCAATGATATTTCTCCCGTTAGATACATGAAGGCCTACACAGTAGACGATCCATTCAGTGCAGGCGGCAAGAGAGAGATCGAAGTTGAGAGCCTAACAAGAGGATATCTGTACGGTCGCTCTATAGTTCCTATGAATGAAGCCGATGAATGCGTAAACAAGCTCGAAACTTTCAAGAGCTTCAAAATTCTCGGCTTCATTCCAACTGATCAGGTTAGACAGCGATTATTAGTTAGGAATGAAACTGACAAAAATCAGCACAAGAAATATCTAGCAATGGGTGAAAGCTGTATAACAGTCGCTCAACCTGTCAATGATAGGTCTCAGTTGGCAATATCATCGCTCGTTCATGCTCTCCTTGAACTAGAGTCCTATGCTATTGCCAGAATTGTACTTAAAAATGGAGCAGAGCCTGGAATTGTTCTTCTAGCACCATATGTTGAACCAGGAGTACTGGAGGCTCTTGTCGATGTACCCCTTCCTTTTTCTGAAGACCTCCATATCTATCAATTTCCACCATTTGAAAAGTTAATTACAGGCTCAGGAGCTGAGTTCCAGGAATATGGAAATCTGGCATCAAGCGACTTAAATAGTGCTATGAGTGATTATGTGGATGCAATGGATATCTCGAGTTTTGGAAGAAATGAAGAAGGGTAAAATACCCCCAAGGGCTCAAGTTTTTGCCTGACAATTATAGCACACCTACGGAATTTATGCCGATCGAAGAGACATATTCACCATCTGTTCACCGGATCTATCACTCCATAACTCAACGAGCAATGTACCCAGATAGACTACTCATAACACCCCCAGAGGTTTTGACGAAGATTTCTAAGCCGCCTCCGAGACTTGCTATGCAAACGAATGATCAACTTCAAGAGCTGATCAGAGTGTCGGAAGTAGAGAAAGGTAAGCCTATGTTTTATCTTGACAAAATGCTGTAGCTAATTTTCCACCATCTCAAGCTCAGCCAGTTGAAACCAACAATTCAAAAAAGAATTTCGGCCGCGGCTTAGATTAGATTTTATTTGCCTTTCGATAAATTAAATATATACGAAGTCTTTCCTCATCTTGCAATCTTTAATGTCTCACTTCTGAATATTTCGGGCAAAACAAATATTTGGATCAGGTGAGCAATGAGCTACATTCCTGGAAAATTGTGCGCGGTACAGACATTTTATTAACTTGGACGTAAAGCCTACTGCTTACAAGTACAATAGTGTTTAGTCAAAAAATAATCTTGTATGTAATTTCAGACGTGATAAGATTTATTGATGACCTTAGAAAAAAAGCTACTTAAGAGATGCTCTGTAGATGATAGACCTGATTGATCTTTATACATTTTGTGTGTTTTCTTATTGTGCTACTTGAGCCAATGACTATCTAGCACATTGGGCTCCTCTCTGACCCAGGCCACACCTGGTACAGTCCTCCCATCCTATTATGCTGCTTGAAGATCATTGATATATTGCCCGCGATAAATGGCCATTCAGCTCAGTATTTACCCGTGGAATTCAGCCACCTTTTCCACGGAACCTTCTACCCAAAAAAAATGGTAGCAATGGAAACTACGTATGCGGGAAAAAGTCTCAAAAAACCTGCAGCCCCAGCCAGGCGAGGCCTAAACACCGGGACCACATGAGGTGCGCATATTCATCTGTATCTCCCTTCTTTGTAACAGTCGAGGCCGACTTGATCCAATCCACCATCTCCGTATCGGGTGCTGGGTACGCTTCGGAAACTCATCGGATGGCTTCTCCTCCATGATCAAGGGTTGATGATGAGTAGGTCTCCGACCCTACCATCTGATCTGATCGTTGTTAGCTTCATGATAATGGTGATAGGGGAATGTGTTGAGAGATGAAGACGATACAGATCGCGAAAGCGATTGAGAATCCTCGTCGAAGTGAGGACTTTGCTACTCAATCTCGGCTCTGCAGACTCCACAGTGAGAGCTGGAGGTTCGTAGGGGACACCGCTGACAGATGTTGAAAATATTCCCCCTATGCTCTGCATATCTGGGATAGCCAAGATCAATTGCATCCGAATCGAAGTCGAAATCAATTAACGACACAGACACATCTATAATCGGTGACTCCTCATCAATGTCGATCTTGTCATTCTCACGAGAGTCCTCTACCTTAACCTCTCCACACACCACCTAGCCTCAAATACCGATAACGGCGTTACTCCAATTGCATTCGGGAATTTGTCTCATCAAAAATCGACCATCTCCCACTACAAAATTACGATGCTATGTATACCCGCGAGGAGGAAATCAAGTCATAAACTACAAAGCTCGGGTCTTGGTCTATGGGGGACTGTTGCTCTAACGGGGCTTCACATCTCAAGGGAGACCAGGCAGTTGGGATGTGGGACGAACGAGTGAAGAGATCACAAACGGGCATGCCGGGACGCACATTTTTCGAGTGTCTTCGACTCAAGGGTGTTTGTGGGCGCAGAGGCAACGATTTCGGGTAGTACAACCGACACTCTAAGAACTGGCAACGATGGAAGGTGTTTTGGTCCGCCTCCTGGTCGTCATCTCCCCGAATTGAAGTCTGGGTAGCCTGGACACCTACCTAACTCGAGAAAGGGAGGACTGTGAGGACATATCTCGCGCGTTGGCTATATACAAGATGGCAAAGGCATGCTATGATAGTCAAAGGTTTTAACCTGTTTTTCCTTTAGCGGATGTTAACGGTTGAGGGAAGGGTGAAAGTCCCCAGCACTAAGGTCTCGACTGGTATCAGTGAATGCACCCACTAAATGAGTAGTCCAAATGTCAAACTGAGTTATCGTCGTATGTAGTCGTCGGAGAAATTGGTCTTCTCAGTCTCATGCTCTTTGAGTGCAGGGCTTGTGCCTGTCACGAATAAACTCTCATTCATTCATTAGGCGTATTTTATGTAGAAGCTCGGGTCGCACTAAAACTATCTCTGGATAATCAGAGAACCCAGTTACGTAGTTGAATACAATTTATTTTCAAAAAAATACAGTCGTATTAAGTTATACAAGAGGGCAAAGGGGATATGATGAGAGATTTTCGGCTGTTCGAAAGTAAAATAATGAGATATCAGATATGTGTTACAGCCACATGGCTTCATACACAATAACCCCCCCCAGATACATCAGTATTGCTTAGCCTGGCGTCTCATGTAAAAGCAAGGACAGGAATTAACAGATAGATGGTAGGTAACTATGAGGCTTCTGGTTGGAGGGCAAGACTGAACACCTGTACGCGGTGTCCTCTACGAACCTGGGAGTGAAATATTCTCCCAGAGCCAAGTTCAGTCAAATTTCGCAAAACCGAACAAGTTGGCCCTTGAGGCAATGATTCAAATTACTCCACCACGTCAAATTTTCACTCCCAAAAAGATCGAATCCTACCTGAGCCTCATCAAGTCTACAAGTACGACCTAGTACATTCTCACCCCAATGACCATACCTCTCGTCGACCTTCTCTGGCCTCAGTTGACCACCAAATACACGCCCACGCCGATACTTAAACACGACGGAGGAAGCAAAGCGTGGCGCACAAATGTGGGAGACAGTTCTTTGGGATGGACGTGAGAGGGATCAGTACAAGTTTACAAGATGATGCGAAGGAAGCATGTAACCTCGAAGGGCGTGAAATTCCGAATTTTGGCATGGAGTTTTACGAATTGGGCTTTGTACGCGCCAAGACTTCGCTTGCGAGAGTGCAGCTGACACTATAGACACAAGCCAACGATGGAAGGTGTTGCGGTCCGCCTCCTGGTGGTGTTCTCCGGTATAGTTTGAGTAGCCTGAGCACCTACTCCACTTGGGGAGGAGACGCCTCAGACCATATTTCGCGCGGAGGAAAGTTGAAAGATGATGGAGGCATGTCTGGATAAAGAAGGGTTTTTGAGATGTTCCCCTGGGTGGGTGTTCACGGATGAGGGTTGACTTGGGGTGAAGAGAAAGCTACCATAACTTCGCAGTGGTACTTGCAAATGAAATCTAAGGCATGAGTGCTCATCCTTTACGTCGAATCACCTACTATGTACTTTTCTTTGATATTGTGTCATAGCTAGATAGCTGCATACGCAATTAAAATCTGATGCAAAAAAAAATGAGTAGAAACTGAGATTAGAAAATACGTGAAATAGATTCTGGAGTCCGGGATCGTCAATTAAATTAAATATTCCCCCGCACCACGTTAGCCAATTAACAGCGCACGATGTGCACGGTCGGGTTTCCAACAATTGGGATCCACAACCGCTTGACCAGCTCGATACCAAGGCTTGGACCTCCACAGACAGCGGCGTAAATCCCCTAATCGACCACTGCCCAGGAGGTTATTTGATGAACTCAACACTGCCAGGTCAGGACACGAAGCTTCTGTGGCAAATTACCGTCGCTACAAGCACGAAAATGCAGGTCTGGTTTATGACCCTTTATTTCTTAGCAGTTGCCTAGTTAGAGCATCTGAACTCATGTCTTATCTAATTGTATGCATTAAAGCATTGCACCTCCGATTTTATATAAAGTGGGTTGGCGTCTTTTCTCGCCCACTACGGCGGAGAAGTTTAAATTTTTGCACCGGTCACAGGCATCTTTAGCAGCCCGGACGCAATCTAATTTTCTGCTGCATACTAGGACAGTAATTGGAAGAAATTCCAGGACTGATTCGCTGGCGGAGGAGAGCTTAGGATGAGGAGTGTTGATTCAACCCCAATTATAATTTCTTGTGCATTTGATTTTTTGCTTTGATGCATAGATGAGTGAGGGATTTGTTGGCTCTAAAATGTGAGTCAATGATCAGGGCTGTCTTCTAGGTAAGATCTCAACCGGCTTCTCCGGTCATGCATCCGCAAGATAGACAGTTCCGGCTTATGGTTTAACACTAAATAGACAAGCCGGGGGTTAACTCAACGTTTGAGTTCTAACTGTCACGTCGAAGCGAGATTAGTTGTGCGAATTTTGTGGATAGACGGTGGAGATTTATTGCCTTACCCCTCACTAAAATGAAGCTTAGAGGGGGGTGTAGCGAGACGCAATGTCATGTGCTTGACTAAAAAATCAAATACGCATTCCAGATAAATGGGAGGGCAACCCATTTATCAGCATCAACACCGCCCAAAGCATCTGGCTCGATATGACTACTCACAATGTAGTCGTTTTCGGGGGAGACCACTGTGGTCCTGAGGTACGTGTGCCGGTTGACGGAGTGCCGCCCAGAAAAGTAATACTAACCGCGTCGCGCAGGTGGTTGCTGAAGCTCTTAAGGTTTGAATTCGACTGCCGCTGCATGTATTCCCGTCACAAGCCGGCTAATTTAGCAACCTAGGTACTTAGAGTTATTGAAACTAGACGCCCAAGTGCCGGAAAGTTCAATTTTCAACTCCACTTACTCGGCGGCGTATGTACTGTCTCGCGCACCCTCTAGCAATTTACTTTTTAATAAACCGTCTAGTGTTCCATTGATGCGACAGGTGAACCATTAACAAGTGTTGCGCTTGATGCAGCCAAGGCCGCCGATGCTATCCTTCTGGGTGCCATTGGCGGACCCGAATGGGGGACGGGATCTATTCGCCCAGAACAGGGCATTCTCACATTGCGCAAAGAGCTCGGCACCTACGCTAACTTAAGACCCTGCAACTTTATCTCCCCTGCACTCGTCGATATCTCGCCTCTCCGTCCAGAAATTTGTCGCGGCACGGATCTCCACATCGTTCGCGAGCTTACAGGCGGTATCTACTTTGGCAAGAGGCATGAAGACACTGGTGATGGTATCGCATGGGATACAGAAATATACACACGTCAGGAAATAGAGCGAATTACGAGGCTAGCAGCTCATCTAGCACTTCAAGCAAGTCCCCCACTGCCCATATGTAGCTTGGACAAAGCCAACGTACTGGCCAGTAGTCGCTTATGGAGAAAGGTTGTCAGCGAAGTTATGGCCAATGAGTTTCCTCAAATCAAGCTCACCCATCAATTAGTTGACAGCGCCGCCATGCTCATTGTAAAAACCCCAACAGCTCTGAACGGTGTCATCTTAACGAGTAACCTCTTTGGTGATATTATTAGTGACGAAGCTAGTGTGATTCCTGGTAGCATTGGTCTATTACCATCTGCCAGCCTCAGCGGATTGCCCGATGGTACAGGCCGATGTAATGGAATATACGAACCTATCCATGGTATTTAACTGCTACAACTTTCATGTAAGACCTGTGAAGCTAATTACCACTACAGGTTCTGCACCTGACATTTCCTGTCAAGGGATTGTCAACCCAATTGGGACTATACTATCTGCTGCAATGATGCTACGGTACTCCCTCAATCTCCCGAGTGAGGCTCTGGCCATTGAGGAAGCTGTCCGTAGAACTATTCAAAATGGGTGCCGTACAAAGGACATAGGCGGTTTAAATACCACTAGCGAAGTTGGTGATGCAGTCAGCTCCGAACTCAACAAGATACTCGTAGATCCTAATGCGTGATGAGCTTAGATTAAACACACATCCTTGTAATCTTTGTATAACAAACCAAAAGTTTACGTGAGGAAACGATCATCGCAGAAATATGAGCTTTTACGAGACATCCGAACGCGTTCGTCTTTGACAGAGTTCAAATCTGGAATTATTCGGATCCAATTCTTCTTAACTTCGATTGCAGATAACCTTGGCTCATGGTATATTCACAGTGGTGTACTTAACGTTTTCTTAGGAAAGCAAAGGTCGATACCAATATAATGATTGAACACAAGCCCAGGTTGAAGTCACAATATCCTTCACTTCTTAAAGGATAGTTTATAAACATGCAAGAATAAATTAGTACTGTGCTATTATTGTGTTGAGAAAAATAGACGTCCACACTACAAACAAGTTGGGGTCTGAAACCTCATTCGAAGTGACGTAAAGCAGTCAGTGAACTGGGGGTTGTCATGCATTAGAAGCCTAAACTAGTTTATGGTTCGAGTAGTAAGGTGTACCCAAAGTTTAGCGTCACCACTCAATAAATGTAATCAAGTTGTAACATGCCATTAATCGAGAGTTACGTCGTGATTTCCCAAGATAATAGTTCTGAGCATAATAGCAGTTATCAGACATAGGCCAGAGACAACTGAGAGATGGGGGAGAGTTGAAAAGCTTGCATACATATTTGAAACTAACGAGATGCCGGATCCAAAGAAGTTAGGAACTTAGAAGTTTCTGATCCTCGCAGCTTTTACCCTCTCTTAGAAAGCCTGAAGTCAAAAGTTTGGCAGCGTTAGCCTTGTGCGAAGACAACATATTAATTTCCGCCTCTAGCTGCGTTGTGAGGTAATACAATTTCCTTTTCTTGGGTAATTAGAGCCTTAGATTTTGGACTGCAAACCATTCCTGTAGGCTCATCCTCGGATATTACCAGGCTTCGTTTGATCCAGTACGAGAGCCACATCTGTCTCGAGCTCTGGTAGTACTCTGCACATCTCACCGGCCAGGATATCTCGAAAGTCAGCGAAAGCTTCCATCTTTCCTTTTAGTAGCTGGTTACCCTTGCGAGCTAGCTCGACAAATTCGCGCGTGTAAATGTCTGGATTGCGTCCGTTGTCCACATACTGAATTAACTCTGGCGGGACGTACGGGAGTTGAATGGGGCGCGAGACTGCAGGAGCTGTGGCTGGCACGGAATCGGACGAGTCGGTGGCCGTAGCTGAGCCAGACGTAATATTGCAGACTGTTCCGTAAACGGCAGCGAGACTGTCGTCTAGTTGTGTTCTAGAAACCGTCCAGGCAAGTTTAGGCTAGGTTTTGCGCCATCAAATACATCGCGTAAAGAAAAGTAGAGCTTATTGTGTGTATAGAGTGAACTTACATGCTTCTCTCCAAGACTTCTTTGCCCGGACGTCCAGCTTGATCAAAAGAATTGACCTGTACCATTATTTGGAAAAGGTCCTGAATTACATCTTTAAGTTGCTCTGCAGACAAGTCAGAGGTTATTTTTTCTCTTGCCTGATTTAGAAGCTGGGAGGCGTTACTATACTTTCCACAATGTCATGATCAGACTGAGTGGTTGATAGTGGCGCCATGAAGAGTTATTTCCTGATGCCAAAGATTGCCGTGAGTGAACACGACCAATTTTCAGGGTTCAAGCACTAGTGCAAACAATCGACATAAGGCTTTGACTGTTCATGCCCGAGGCATTAATAATGTCATATTTCTAGGTTATTCTATCTACGTTTTTGTGCAAATGGATTTATCCATCCAATACCACTTCGATCTCTACTATACTCGTCCACCAACTTATATCCATTTTACCCCTGTTAACCCACACTTGCTTGATTCTATTTTATGTTAAGTTTTTAAATCAATTGGTGGGATATTGATCTACTGGTTCGACTTATTGACTTTATTTCCACAGGTAGTTTCCAAGTTGAAATTATTAATAAACGATGTAACATAATTAAGTATGCCGTAAGGATTTCTGGCAGGAATACTTTTTTTCTCCACCTGAGTATGAAAATAAATTCTCAGTGGGATTTGCATACTTAACTTTTGAAGGACTGGTAGTTTTATCGATAGACTGAGGTACGTTTAGAGATTGCACACATTCCCCGTATTTCTGTATGCAAACCAAAATTTGCATACTCAATTTCCAAGAAAATAGAGCCAACCCCTATTTACTTGGTACTATATATTATCCTGTACTCTCAATCACTTCTGAAAACCGGACTGTATGACAGGCCATAGAACATCAGTGAAAATTTGCAAACAAAAATTTAAACAATTATCGTGGGGCGTTGAGGGCACCTGAGCTCGTAAGATTTTCGCTGGCATTTCTTCAAACCCAATTCATACCTAGTATTTTTAGTATTAGAATAAGTTGTTCTGTCGGAAATAACTTATGAACTATCTGACAGTAGATTTCTCGGTTTTAAGTATCTTGGGGATAGGTACATACGTGATATACATCGGCCTCTTCTGATCGTTGAGCCATAGTTGGATTGACAAGCCAGGGTTTTCTCTCGCGACCTTGGCGTAAATTCTTGGGAATCGAATGCATCGAATCTAATTCAGTATTTAAGCTGCGAGGAGAGAAAGAAGCCTCATCAAGGGGACTAAATGTTGTGAGGTATATATCACTCTTTATCGCATCAGTTTCAGATTCAGATTTACCCTCCGAATAATGTAGCTCTCGATAATAATGAAACTGATAATGGAGATACGGGCTTTGACCTATCGTTAATTCCATATCTGTGACATTATCAGTCGACAAGTTTAATTCTGAAATCGGGTTATAGTTTGTCTCGAGATAAAATTAGTTCTTGAAGTTTGGAGTATTGATAGAAAGCAACTCACATGATCATCGTCATTTGCCAATGGGCCAAAGGCTACATCTTTGTACTTAGACCGAGTGCTAGTTGCGATCGGTTCAAAGTTTTCATGCCCGCATAGCTCAAATATATCAGTTCCATTTGGGCCTAATCCCTCACCAGCCTTTGAGAAATCGGCGTAGCTTTTCCTGAATTTTTTATTTTGCATTTTTTCCTCTATTTCCACCTCGCAGCGCTTGCAGTGCGGAATTCTCTCTAATTCAACTCTCCTGAACAGATTGTTAGTTTCGACTCAAGTTCTTCCTATGGGATCTTACTCTCTTCTTTCCGGTGCAGGTATACCTAACCTCGTCCCACAAAGTAGGCACCCGAAACAGTCAGAATGCCAAAAGCACAATCCAAGGTTGACGACTTCATCACTTTGCATTACATATTCACCACATGCCCAACATATACTTAGGTCCAACGTAGAGCGCCAGCAACTTTCGCATACTATTCTTTCCAAACGACCAGGAGCCTTTGGCTGAACATTGAGTGCTTGCTGTAGCCGGCAAAGAGTGCAAAAAAGAGAGTAGTAAAGTGGAGTTACATCTCCAGAGGCTTGCATACTTTGATTCTAAATTTAAAATTTCTTGGGAAATATAAAGTATAAAGTAGGTATGCAACTCTAGAAGAACAAGTCTCTATAAATGAGAATATTTTCTAGAGTCAAGATTTGGCCTATTTTAGAAAGGGTGGGACGATGAAGGATACTATAAGTTATGCTTTTGGTGAAAATATTTTTGGTTATCGATACATAATAGCTAAGAAATTAAGGAATGAGAATTAGAATTTGTGCAATCATCGAAAGACTTTAATGTACACGCTAAACTAAGATTAGTCTGCATGATCATAAAGAAACAGGAGGAAAGCACGACCTAACGATAATATGATTGAATTATAAAAATTTTCAGAAACAAGAGTAAACTATCACTACAGGTATTAAGTCCATAAAAAAGTTAAAGTTTATTTCGATTGCCCGTTAAGATCATAGAATAAAGAAATACATAAGAATATGTTTTAATTTCCGTTTGGTCATTCATGCCTGACATCTGACATCGTACATCATAAAATACCTGATATTTCACTGCAGTGAGAGTATCGGTTATCACATCGATGAAAATAATGACACCTTACTCCTATTCAAAGTGTCTACGCCGATAATACCCAAAGATAATAAATGAAACAATACTTAATTCCGAATTTTAGGTCGAGACAGCATGTTAAGACGACTAAGTGTTAGGACACCACGCGGCTTTGAGGGAGTAGGTATTGATGAGGCTGTTTCTTTTCCTTTCCGTAATTTGTGAGTCATAAATGAGGGACCTCCGGTTGCTTTGAGCTTCGTTTTTTTGGTAGTTCTAGATTCAGAGAGCTCATCCTCAAGCTCAGTACGCGCCCGTTTTTTATTTGGGATTTTGAGGAAAGGAGGCTGGCTTTTATCTTTATTGCTCTTAAGTCGGGTACAAGGGGCATCGTTGGTCTGGTCGCTGGCAGAGACCTGACGAATGCTTGATTTTCCTGAAGACATACCAAAGTTATTCTGGGAAGGACAAAACTTAATCGATTGATCGCTGCGGAAAGTGAAAGTACCCGGAGCGCTTGGTAATTGTCGTTCTTTTGTAATCTGATTTGGTGGCTTGGGAGAGGAATGAAATTCAGATAGAGACGGATATTCAATAGTGCTAGAGTTACTCAATTCCTGCGCTTTAGAAATAGACGGGAAAAGGATTCTGTTCGCTTTCGCTGCAGATGTTTTATTTAGTGAACTTCTTGAGCTGTTTTTAAGGAGTGTCTTTGATTGTATCATTCCTGGCTTCACCGGAGATGGCGAACTTTGGTCGTTAGCTGTGTTATTTCTGATATTTTTAGGAGTAAAGCCAAATTTATTAGCTTTATTTAGATTATCCCGACTATCAACAAATTTTGTGGATGTATTGGAGTGTAAATACCGGGATTCATGTTCTTTATGTTTGTTGGGAGATCTCAAAAAAATAGATAAAGCGTGCTCTGGCTTTTGGCTACGATCTGGGAGGCGAGAATTAGGCCTTGTATGCTCAAACTGGTTGGAACCGCATGTCTTTCTCGGAGATATTGGTATAGAGCTCGGAGTATCGGTCATTGTCACCAGACCTAACTTCTCAGATGTTTTATTGTTATTGAGCTTTGATGGTGACATAGATCCGGTCACATTCGGTGTCGCGGGAATTTGAGCACCTTCAGAAGGAATTACTACTTCCGGGATAGCACTCATGAAGGGGGGGGCCTTAAACGACGAGTTTGATTGACTTGGAGTAGAAACTAGTTTCCTCGAAAATCCACTAATTGTTTCCTTTTTTCCAATACGCTTAGCTGAAATTGAAGATTGTTGTTTTGGAACGCTGTCGAGCTTTTTATCGTTTCTTGAAAGTTTTTTTCGTGCTGTATTGTTGTCATCCAGGTCTGCCTTTGATGGAGAACGTTTCAATATACTTTTTGTGGTAGATAAATTGGATGCTTGGGTTCGTAGTACCGATGGATGATCAGCGATAGAGTTCATTTTTTTGAACTCTAACAAGTGAGCATCACTAAATCTACCAATCTTGCCCTTCGGATGGGCTACCTTGCGACCGTGATCCATAACTTTACTTGGCTCTTCTTTCTGTTTCTTATCATCCCTTTCTGAAGCCATTTTTGCCTTTATTCTTTGAGCTTCTAACTGCAGCTCTTCCATCATTTTTTGAGCTTCAGGACCAAGTTGGGTGTTAGGGCGAGAAAATTTGAAGTCAAATGAGCATTCTGATACCCCTTTTTTGGTTGGTGTTTTTTGTGTGATACCAGAGGGCTGATTGCTACCGGCGGTAGTGATGTCAGTGAAGCCGAGACGGAGCCCAGAGTCAGGTCCATGAGTAGTACTTAAATGAGACTTGCTAGGATGCATTTCTTCTGGTGCCGGTCGAATCCGACCTGTAGTCACTGGTGTTTGGGGTATTGGAGTGGTGGATATATGAGTCGAGTGTTTTGTCAATAATGGTGTTTCGTTGCTTTTTGTGTTTGGACCATGAAGAACTAGATTAAATGAATGTGATTGATTCGGACTGGAGTCATCGGCTCCTATTGGAGATAATTGAGAATTGTTAGTTTTGTTTACCCTGCGGGTTGTGGTGGTAAGTAGTCTTGATGAGCGCCGATGAGGCGCCATTTTGCTGGCCTATGTTTTGATATTTTGCTATTACAGCTTTGGTTGATGTGTGAGATTTTGCGGCGGAAAATTCACGTCGTGAAAAGCGATCTCAACATTGATGAATAGATTAATTTATTTGGAGATTTGGCGAGTTAGTTTACACCTACAAAGGGGGCCGCTGCAGTAGCACTCAGCTTTGGAAAGCTTCTGGTCAGGTGACCCAATCGTTGAAATGGGCCAGGTGAGAGTCAGTTGCCTCTTACACTGGGAAAAGATGGCCGAGTAGCCTAGCGGTAGTCTTCTCTCGTTTGCATCTATGAAGTGCCTAATCTGATGGAAATCCTATTCCATTTGCGGAAAATTAAGTATCAGCTAGAGCTATGGGACCCGTGTCCCGTGACTTATGGTCGCCCAGATTCTTGGACCTAACACTTGTAGCTATAAGAAGCAACGACGTTAAATCGAAGCCCCTCTCAGTTTTACAGTATTCAACTATCTAGCTTTGACGTAGAAGCTATTCATACCTTCTTATCATACTCCAAGCAATCGTAACATTCTTACCCCATACATTGCGAAAAATGCCAGATCCCCCTACCCCTCCTATTCCCCCGTTATCGGTAGGGGCATCAAAGACATTGACAGAGACCCTCATTGAAGCAACCTCCGCAGCCAACACTAGAACGCAGGAAGCAACTCTTTTATTTGGCGGCGTGGCTGCAGCATTAGATAACGTCACTCGTGGCACCGCTGCCCCAACAATCCCTCCTCATTTACAGAAATCTTTTAACGATTTCCTGACACGTATGCAAGCTGTTGCACAAGAATTCTTCGAAAGCCATGTGCGTGGTGTACTAATTCCTGCAACAACTGATCGTCTTCCTATATCTCAGCCAAAACCAGCTGCTCATGCGAGGCATTCCTATGCGCAAGTTGCAGGAAAACTGAAAGGCAATGCTGCATTAAGTACCCCCCAGAAGCCAAAACCTGCTAAGCCCCAAAAACAGGCCAAATCACCGCCTTTAGACGACAGATTGTTCCTACGCCTTGATGAAAATGCAACTGAACGCCTAGTATCAGCGTACTCCCTTCTCATTCAACTCCGGAATTTCCTTGGAGAGAACTCCGCCCTGTTGAAAGAAGTGCAGCATATTCCATCCGGCCTGGCACTCCGTCCCTCTTCAGAAGCGGCCTTACCAAGGCTGGAAGATCTTTTCGTCCAGGGCATCGGGGAAGGGAGATTCCCAGGTGTTCTGGGCATCGAAAAAGCTCAAAACCTGGACAGTTATCTTATTACGTCTGTACCTCGCACATTCACCACTTTAGACGACAATAATAGACTCGTCAAGGAGCCAATCACCTCAGAGCTCGTCCTCAAGGAGCTTAAAGAAGAAAAAGGTTTTAATCCTACAATTGTAGTCGAAACCAAAGGGAGTATTGCATCCCCTTACGATCCTTCCGCTAGATTTATTGCTCGCTTCCCTATAGGCTCTCACCTCCCACGAAGATTTCATATTTTTGGGATGGGCATCAACTGCCGCAAACTGTCCAAGAAAATTAATATCGCTCAATGTGGCAGATGTTTTCAATGACATAACCAGCGTATATGTGCTCGCGCTCCACGCTGCCGTCTCTGTGGCTCAGCTGAGCATACAGAGGAAACCCACACTGCATGTGGACCGCACCAACATTCCTGTCCACCCCGATGCATCCACTGCCATGGTCCACATCCAGCCGACGCACCAGAGTGCCTACTCAGACCCCGGTCAAATGGTATAAAGCTGACAAAGGGGCAAGTAGCCCAAATCTGCAGTACATCTGCCGCAGCAAGAATGGGTCTGTGCACTACTGTTGGCTGCATCCGTGACCGCACCACTCCCGCTACAGTAGACGAGGAAATGACTGACACTCCTTCGGGCCAAACTCTCACCTACAAACATGCGACAAACCCCTCTAACACGCCTTCCGGCCCACTAATGCTTGAAGGATCCCCGAGCTCGACCCAGCTTGTTCGGACCACCTCTCCTCCACCCTCACGTCCCACGGTCTTCCTTGGGAACCGCTACTCTGTCCTAGACGTCGAAAATAAAGTCTAGACGGCACAGGTCTATAGGGCCGCTACGGCTTCTACAGATCAACGTCTGTAGGGGAGCCTCTTCACATGAGCTTGCACTTACCTTTGCGAATGAAGAAAGATTTGACATCGTTCTCATTCAAGAGCCCTATATCTTCACTGACCGACAGCGCCGCATCACCAAATTTAATCCCAACTATGAGTGCTTTACCCCCACGGATGACTGGTCATCCCGGCCTCGAGTGCTCACGTATATACGCAAAGGGGCGGGACTACAAGTATGTCAACAACGGCCCCTCCCTTTAATAAGCACAGCTGCGAGAGATCTCCTTTTCTTGGAAGTTACTGCACCATCTGGAGCAAAACTTCTAGTAGTGAATGTTTACAATGCCCCCGCCGGCTCAAAAAATGGGGGTGAGGCCGTTAGAGCCCTCCTTGATCTCACCTTCCCAAGTAATTCTAACCGAATTTTCCTCGCTGGAGACTTAAACCTCAGGCATACGCGGTGGCAAGCATCATCCTCAACTAATAGTCCACTAGCGGAACCGTTTATCAGGTGGATAGATAGTCTCAATCTTACTTTAATCTCTCAATTGGATATTCCAACGCATAGCCGCGGTAGCGTGTTAGACCTTGCATTTGCCTCCAACCCGCTGATGCTCTCGGGAGCGGAATCTTCAATAGTACCGGAGCTGGACGTCACATCTGACCATCTTCCTATTGCATCTTTAATTCCGTGGGATAGCCGCTTCCAGGAGCCAATATCTCGCCTCAAAATCAGCACGCTCGACGAAAAACTTTTCCTTTCCCTTCTCGAACTGGAGATCGCAGGGCTAGAAAACCTCCCCGTAAACCCAAAGCCTAATTCTCTAGATTTCTTCGCTAAAGGCATCTGTACGGCCCTCCAGAATGCCTATAGAGCATCTGCGCAGCGAGCCCTTGGAAAGGGGACCGGGCAACCTTGGTGGAACAACGACTGCAGAAACGCTGCACAGGCCTACCGAACGGCTAGAAGAAGCTCGGCTAATCAAAATGATATCACCGCCAGGAAAAAGCTACTGCGCGCTGCAGTACGTAGGGCAAAGCGAAAGTTTTTCAGGACAAGATAAGTCATGCCAATACAGCAAAAGACGTGTTTGGGATCGTTAACTGGCACCGAACAGTAGGATCCTTTCGCACCCCACCTTTCAAAGATCCAACCAACCCCGGTGCCTCACCTGCAAACACACTTCAAGAAAAGCGAGAAGTACTAGTTCGGAACCTATTGCGAAATGCCTCTGATGCAATAGATGTTCCATTAGATACACCATCAGTCGGCGTCACTAGCCTTCCTTTCCTAGACCTAACCCTGACGAAATCAAGGACTCGGTCATTAGATCAGGCAATACGGCACTCGGGGAGGACGAAATTCTAACGGCAATCCTAAAAATTGGCTGGCCACTAATCGAAACTCGGGTCTACGATCTTTTTAGAGGCTGCCTCCAGGCTGGACACCACCCTGCTTGCTTCAAGACCGCTGTGCTGGTTATGTTAAACAAGCCCAACAAGACAGATAGATCTAGCCCACGCTCATACCGACCCATTGCTCTCCTTTCGACCCTGGGGAAAGGCCTTGAACGAGTGATCGCCCGCCGCCTCTCTTGGACAGCTATCAGAGCAAAGATAACAGCCTCACAACACTTTGGTGCCCTCCCTCTCCGCTCGGCCACAGATTTGACGACCTGTCTAGTACATGACATCGAAACAGCACTGAATAGTAAGCTCACTGCCTCCCTCCTGACGCTTGATGTGAGGGGTGCTTTTGATAGCGTACTTCCTGGCCGACTAGTCCATCGACTTAGAGACCAAGGATGGCCTGATAATTTGGTAAAGTGGGTGGCCTCTTTCGCCTCCAATCGCGTGGCCAAGATTCGTCTAGATGGCTCTACCGATCCCGAATTTGATGTCTCCTGTGGCCTCCCACAAGGCTCGCCAGCATCACCTATTCTGTTCATGCTATATCTTGCACCTCTTCTCCACATGGGAACCGCCGAAACAAGATTTGGATACGCAGACGATATCGCCTTCCTTCACACCTCTCCATCCCTCCAGGAAAATTCCGAATCTCTTTCACTCAGCCTCCAGGAAGCCATGGAATGGGGCATAGAGCAGGGCTTGAAATTTGACGAAGACAAGTATGAGCTTCAACATTTCTCTCGCCGCCGACTCGACCAACAACCCACAAATACTCCCATGGTAAGTGCTGGCGCTATTACCGTCTCTGAAAATACTACTCGCCCATACACTCGCTGGCTTGGAGTACTCTTTGATAAAAAGCTCTCCTTTAAGTGGCACGCTCGAACCCTCGCCTCAAAGGCCCTCAAGGTTAGCCATGCTCTGTCATCCCTTGGTAATACAACAAGAGGGGCTCCTCCTCATCTACTGCGTCGTGCAGTAGATTCATGTGTCCTCCCCATCGTTTACTACGCCTCAGAATCCTGGTGGCCAGGCAGATCTAGAAAAGGTCCCACGGGACGCATATCAACCCGTGTAGATTCCCTACTACAACAGCTCTCCAAGGTCGTGCTTGCCTCTGCCTGCGCGACACTTCCAGTGTATCGCACCACACCAACAGCGATACTTCATTGCGAATCAGGGCTACAGCAGCCGGAAATAGCCCTTGATGGCCGTGCACTTGCAGCCACCGTCCGACTACGCCGTCTGGATCTTCGACACCCGCTCTTACGCCGTGCTAACAGAATTCTCAGCTCACAGCGTGCTACCTCTCGATTTGCCCGACGTGTACTTTCACTCCCCAGATCAGAGCAAATCAATGCAATCGCTATTCCTCCTTGGAATCCACGTGAGAGCCGTGAAGCTGCACAATCCCGGGTGGCTGGCCCGAACAGTACCACTACAGAGGAAAACTAACAGTCCTTCCTTGACTTTCTTACGACCATCCCCTTCG